TCCAGTTCTTTAGCTGAAAGTTTCTCTTGCTGTTTACTCTTTCTTACTGTTGATATTTCTGTTTCACCAGCATTATATTCAACTAGTTCCTCAGATTCTGAATTCTTTCTTTTTCTATAACTCTTTGGCCCTAAAGTGGACAGGTTTTTTTTTTTAGGTTTTTGGATTCATTAATTCTTTCATTACCCTTTTTGACTTGCTGAAGATTCTTAGGTGGGTTTTTTATTCTTCCTTTAAGAATAGAGTTCTTCTCTTCCTCTACATTTTGAAATTTTCCTTGTATCCACGTTTAACATCACTTTTCTCTTCCTGAGACACCTTTTCCTTTAATTCATCTAAAGCATCATTTGTTTCTTCTATAGGAGTTTTCGTTTTATTAGGAATATAACTTCCAGTTAAGTGTTTTACTTTCGACTTGCATGCTTTATTAATATACGAACTATTATCTAACTCATGTTCTTGATCAATACTTATATACATTAAATTCAATTCAGTTTCATCTTCTACTACTTTCATAGATATGCCGTCCTTGTTTATAAGAATTTCCATTTCCGAAAGCAATTCATTTCCAATAACAGCATTTTCTTTTATTGTTCCTTGAGGCACAACATAAATATTTGATTTAATTTCACAATCATCAACTCGTAAGGAACTTTTTAAATAACGAATAGGTTTTACTTCATTGTTACCAAAGCCTACTAAAATCAAATCCGAAGAATTAATACTAGGTGAACCAATTACTTTATAAATATCTTCCGATACTATATTTATATCACTTCCTGTATCAATGAGAGCTTTTACTTCTACATTATCTATCGATATAATTTTATGCATATCATTTAACTACTTCTTTACAAATATATGATTCACTCTGGCAAGATCTTTTATATTCTTCTTGTTTTTTATACATTTTGCGGCTACGTGTCGAAATAAATTACAACGAAAGCACTTTTTTCCCTTGCTCTTACTTTTGCAAAAATTCTCCACGTGACCAAGATTTCCGCAGTTATAGCAACGATTATTTGTTTTTATTTTACTTTCAAAATGGTCACTTCTGGTTTTAGAATTAGGCTTAACGGATTTATTTTTATCATAGTCCTTGTTTAATTTTTTCATATACCTTAAGTTTTTCCTGAAATTCTGCCAACGTTTTACAACCATAAGGAATATCTTTATTAAATGTAGAATCCTTTATACCATTAATAAAATATTCAAATAAAGCGGCGTTTTCAATATTACCTTTGGAACATATATTTTTAATTACAAAAAAATATTCATATAGAGATTCTTTTTCCTGCATTTTACGTTTTGATAATAATTTGTGTAACTGAGCAGAGTTATACTGAACACCAATATTCATTTACTAATAAAGCCTTAACTGCATTCCACGAATTAATTTTCATTTCACTTTCAATAAATAATTTTGCTTTACCAGTTAAAGATCTTTTGGCGAATATCAGTTTCTGTAATTCATTTAATTTTAACAAATTAGATACATCCTCAAAGTTTTGAATGAATTTGTCAACCGAATTATACGGATTACCATCAAATTTAGAAATCAAGCTTTCAATATCATTAAAATTTATATACATATTTGAAAACTGTGAAAACGGAAATTGAACTGATGACTTACTAATATTTTGTTTTAGCTCATGATCTTCATCAACAGCAGTAAAAGAAGAGTCGTTGAAAATTCGAACAGTTGATGCATCGATTTCACTATTAACAGAAGTATTCCTTCTTTCATCCAATATTGCTTCATATTCCTCTATTCGTTGCTTGTAATTTAATCCCGACTCTGACACCAATTTTGTGGGTACTTTAGTTTCGAAATCACAATTCATATTCAAACAAAACACATTTAATAAAACATTAATACATCTATAAGATCATTGATCTATTAATACAGCATCTATAACATCTTACATCTATTAACAGAACATATATATCATCGTATATATATTAACGCAACATCCATAACATCTTACAGATCCTCTCATAAAACAAAGTGGCGAGAGTTCTATCAGTTTCATTCGTGCAGTCAACAGCTAAAAATTAAACAGCGCGCGAGGAAAAATATTAAGCTATGGATTTAAAATTCCACATGTATATCTATGGTCTATATAACATCTATATATGTATAAGCAGGATTAGTCTTTTGTTAAATTTCGAAGAGTAAATTATACCGATCATTTGAAGCATAAAAGTGCATTATATCCCAGGAAATGAACCCGAATACCTATGTAAATTTGTAAATTTTAGACTCAATAAAGATGACTTAATCCGTTTCGTGTATATAAAGATCTTAGGTCAGATGTCACCTTTATGATGAGTAGAATAGAGTAAGGTTGGTGCACTGCAAATTCCGATAGCTAGTAAAAATTTTAGCAAGCCACTGCAGCTGCAACGAAATGTAGGAAATACGTCCAAGACATTCAGATTTTATGGATTAACTAGCGAGCTGCGGCCAATGAATGAAATGTTAATGAAATCAGTTCTATAGACACATGAAATTTTTTTTTCAATATGAAGGAAATAAGGTTTATATTCTCAAAATATTTCAGCTTCATTTTGACTTCACTCGATTAACTTTATTCTATTCTTGAAAAAATCTTAAATTGTTTCAGCATTATGTTAGCTTGATTCATTTCACGTTGTCTTGCAAAAATTGCAGTGTTTCAGCTTTATGTTGGCTTGACTAACTTCAGCTTTTGTTAAGAACATTTCATAAAAAACATCACTGTGGAAAAACACAGAAACTGTGAAGGACGAATAAACAAGCCACGTGATTCAAAATTCGTGAAAATGTTTACTCTACCTGAAATGCTAGCCCTCTTTTCTATGTTTAGAAAAGAGGGCTAGCAATGCTAAAATTCCACCTCGTAACGCGCTTCAGCACGCCAAACAGCAATGAAGCTTAGCGAAAAAAAGGAACTTTGAGGAGGAGATAATAAGCGTTTTCAGAATTTTTAATTAATATCTTGGCTAATTAAAATCGTATGAAGATAAAAATGGTCGAAATGGCCTTTTTTTCGGGGGGGGAATCCGGAAGTGCCTCTTCCGAAACTCAATTTCCCGCCGTTCCGGAGGAGATGATGTTACAAACAAACAGACAGACAGACAGACGTGCACAGATTTTAATAGTATAGTTATTTACAGAGGAGAAAACAGAATAAACTCATGACCTTCAAGGAAATTTTGTGGGAATTCATCTCAAAGGACAATTTTGTTAAAAAATAAACCCTACATCAGAAACATGATAGCTATCAAACAATTCAACAGACGTTTTCACGGGTTGCAAGACATTGTTGAAGTTACTGATATTCATCCTTGTGTGTACACATTGAAAGGACTTTTCAGAACTGATGAAAAAAGAATAAGTGAATTTGGACATTATTCATTGCCTAAAATAAACATTGCCTGGAAAAAAAAAGAAAAGATTGGCTAAAAGAAATAAAATGGTTATCTCTGATCAAGGGGAGGGCATAAGCTATAAATGTTACGAGTTTTACGTAAGTTAGCATATCTTTTCTAGTGCAAATATAATAATTTGAGCTCAAAATAATTCTTATGAGAACTGTTTTCCACTTTAAATTTTTTCACTTCAGAAATGATAGTTCAAATTAGTACTATCCCATTTTTATAAAACTCGGCGTGCTTCCTATTTATTCCGTTTTCTAACGCACGCACGAAAGGAAATTCCACAGTGTGAATAATATTATCTAATAATGGATCTAATAATAACCTCCTTTTTAGTCAAAACCTTTACTCAAGAATCACTCTATCAACTCTCTCAACTCTATCAAGAATTTCCAAGAACTTTTCATTCAAGTCATCCTAATTCATTCAAATACTATTTCTCATCAACTTTTATTCAATTACTGCTCTTCATTCTCCATAATCAAAAACTATACTCTTATTCTAAACTGTTTACAAAACTTAACATTCTCAGTCCTATTATTCTCCTACATTATGTTATTCATTTTCAAAATTTGTAATGATCTTCTTAAGTATTTACTTACGTATTTATGTTTCATTTACTTACATATTTATTTAGGTATTATGTATTTATATGTTTAATTTTTAAAAATTTTTATTATATGATTCTTAAAATTCTAATACTATATTGACTTCATATATAACAACATTGTATTTAGGCATTCATCTAATTCTAAATTTTTAATTTTTATTTATTGTATCTATTCATGCATTTATATATTTATTTCATGATATTTAATTTTTTATAGGTAATTATCAAACTCTAAAACTTTATTGAATTTTATATATAACAACACAGTTGGTAGATGATTCCACCAGTTGAGCATAAAAGCTGAATGTCTTAAAGGCGGTGCAGCTATTCATCTGATAGTAAATAAATAAATAAATAACCTCCTTTTTTAAGTTACAGCATGATAAAAACGCCGTAGTAATTAGTCTTCTATTATCTGTAATATTGATGCCCTTTAAAATATCCTTTAAACAATGCTACAAGCTCTAGAAAGAAGCATATGTTTAATTTTATGTTTTGAAATATGCATCAATGTTTCCTGTAGCATTTTTGAAACATTCCTCTGATTTTTAGGACTTAATTAACATCTTTGTAAGATAATAAGAATAATTTATTTCCAATACTGCTACTCTGTCTTTAACGTTAAGGAAAAACTAAAGCTGAAATTGTGATTAAAAATGTTTGTATATTACGTTTTTTAAAACGTTAGCTCCGACCATATTCGGATACCCTAAAAATGCAATATCTCAATAATAATATGGTATCGCTCATCATTTTTTATACTGGTTTAGGAGTAAACAGGAACTAAATTATACAACAGTTTTATTAGTGTGGTGCAGTGCGGTGTAGTTTTCTTCATTTTTTTAAAATTTACTGTTAAATATTTTAAGAAATATATGTTATATTTAAAGTTTAAGTAATCTGGCCAAATCATTAAAGTAATCTGTCCAAATCTTTAAGTAATCTGTCGTAAAACTTTCCGTATATTTAGGTTCCGAAACAAATGAATCTTCTGCCAACCTTCGTACCAGACGAGCATTTGCGTTGTTCTGTGGATGCAGTTCCAGGTTTGAGAGTTAAAAGTGAAGCGCCAACTGGTTCCGCCCAACACGTGGACGGTGCTTCCCTAGGAGCACTCGTGGAAGACAAAGGAACTCCGCAGGCACCTATCAAAATCTGCCACAGTCACATCAACGTAAAAGTAAGACTTCTTTGTTCTCATGTACAGATGCATTTCATAAACTAAGCGAGCTGCCTAATTTTTGATTAATTTATGTAATAATCCGTAATTGATAGATTATGTCATGTTAGCGCTGAGGGCCAGTTTAAGATGTATGTTGATGTCGCGAATAATAGACGCAGTTTGAACAATTTTCAGAAATGTTTTTTTAAACTATAAGTACTGATTATTTCATCTTACCTACATGGACCAAAAAATTTACTCGATGTATCAGATGTTGCTCCCAGGCTCAACGCACATCCTAAAGACAATCCCATCCTCTCCAGTACTTAATGTCACGTGCTAGTATATCCTTAGGAAATCCCTTCTAGATCCCCTCGACAATGTACGAGATAGTGAAAGGATTTAATGTCGTACTTATAATATCCTTAGGACGTCCAGGGATACCTTTCCCAAACATACTCTCAGAACATCCTTTCTAGACCATATCGGCGATATACGGAATGATTTAGAATCTAAAATCGTACTTTCAACATCCTCAGGGCATCCTGGATTATCCCCCCCCAAAACTTTCTAAACACATCTTCTGAGTGTTTAAAGTCGCACTACAGTGTAACCTAACAGCATCTTGCTAGGAGTTACAGCCGAAAACATCTCCGAGAAAACGCAAGGCGAAAACGTCATGGTACAAAATATCGTGGAAGAAAGGAAAGCAAAGAGAAAACTTCTCAGTTCTAAAACATCGTCGTACAAAATATAGTCGTCAAAAATAAAGCAGTTCGAAAGCTTTGCAGTTTAAAAACATCGTCGTCTAAAATATCATAGTGAAAAATAAAGCACCTACAAATCATCGCATGACAATAACATCCCACAGATGCGATTTTCAAGCTTTAAAAGTTGTAAATGCGTATTCGCATAAAGCTTTGGAAGCGCAAGAAATGTTAGGGGCACTCAAGAATAAACGGAAACAAAACAAGATATAATTTTCATCAAAACAATATCAGATTAAAAACGTGAAAAAAGTAATTTGATAATTAACTAAGCAATATTTATATAGGTAACCTCATGCAGTTATTTACCTTCCTTTTTATAAAAACTTTTACGCTGTGTTTTTCGTGAAAATTATGAGTAAAACTTGGTGAAAAAGATTAATTTATTAAAGACCTTTCTTAGTTAACTACGTGAATTTAAAATTCTATTAAGTGCTGTAAGTTGTATTAACATTCTACTCATTTTCAATTTTTAAATGTGTGCGATGCGAATTTGTGCGATGTTATCGTCATGCGATGATTTGTAGGTATTTTTTTTACCACGATATTTTCTACGACGATGTTTTTAAACTGACAAGTTTATGAAACGCTTTATTTTCGAAGACGATTTTTGTACCATGATGTTTTAGAACTGCGATGTTTTCTCCTTGCCTTCTTTTCTTCATAGGTTATATTTTGTTGCAGACAGTCACTGTGTGCAGTTTCCCGCAATCGAAGACAACACGGCGTTAGAATCACGTCTATCTATTCTCACGAGCTTGTGGCGTTGCGTGGCCCCAACTTGCCCCAACAGTAGTAGTGACTGCTATGAACTGGAAATTACGCAAACTCTTAAGAAGGGTTTAACTCCCTTTTTATTCCACTTTAGAAGTTACAGATGCATTCACTTGACGCTCACAAACTACGCCGACCCGGCGGTAAATAAAAAAAAAGTAAACTAAAAATAAATAACAGGATGCATAACTAATGAAGTCACTATCTACGAGGCTCTCTAAAACTAACTTAACCGCGTTTCTAAGATACCGCTGAGATTCAGCAAACTTTCTGATTAGAAGTTGAAAGATTCAACTAACTGCCGAGTAAGCACACAGGCCGAAACGCGCGGTTCTTCAATTTCTACCTAGCCACCTCACGCTCGTGAAGCAAGAAAAGCACACTTCGAACTCGTTTCCCTTCTATTTAACTCAAATTACTTCCGCTGAAATTTGAATCCTTGCGCGTTCTACTACTAAAATTTACATACTCTGGCATTGGCAATTCCAGGGGAAAGTAAGGCTTGACAGGAAAGATAGTTTAAACTTAAAATAAATGTTAGTTAAAATAAATATAAACCCTACATTTGCCGCTGCCAGAATTTGGAAAACTTGGAAGCAGGTCCTAGAAACGACCTGTTGTAAAAGTTTCCATAATTCTGAACTAAAACTGGCGAAGAGCCTCGTTTACATAAAAAAAACTGTTTTCTCAAAAATTAGAATAAATTTCTGTAGATACTTAATTTTACCATCTCTCTTCTTACAGCAACCTTTTCCTGGACTTCAGCAATCAATCTTTCTCTTCCTTCCAGCATCTGGAAGGAATAAGTATCAGTATCTTTCTAAATACATTATAATTTACACTTTCTTGACACTGAATAAAGTTTTTTGTTTTTGAACGATTTATTTTCCTTAGTTACTGCTTAATTCACATTCATTCAAGTATTCAAACATGAAATTTAACTTTACCCTGGCTCTCCACCATGTGTGGTGTCAAACGGGAATATTCGTGTTTTAGTATTACAACACTTCCCCTAACCACAATGATTTGTTAGAATTCAACGACCAAATAGACACACCTTACTCGACATTCTACAACTCGATGAGCTACTTTAACATTCTTAAAAATTCAAGTGTAGGTGGAGAACCCTACAAAACACATTCATTCTAACTTCCCCCTCATTCATCTTTAGACATGCAGGCTTTCGCTCTAAAGCATGATTTATCTACAGTTTAATACTTAAATTTTGAATTCATTGCTTTTGAGCATTTACTTTTAGCATCTAAAATTTTATGCTTCTAGACTAAATTCTACTTTTACATAACTTTCAAGTATTTACGTATATTTACAAAATTCTAATACATATGATTTTTACAATTTACCATAAAATGAATAAGAGAAAAAATAATTTTTACTTTACTCATTCTTCGCCAAGCTGGCGGCACTGAAACTAAAATTTCTTATTAATACAAGAATACGAAGTTATTTTTATCTTCGGCCAAATTTTGGCTTTAACATAACAGAATTAGTCTTTCGACCAACAGAAAATGCTTGTTCTTAGATTTTATACTTAAAGAAAATAATACTTTTGCCTTAGCTAAATAAAGTAAAACAAAACTAAGTCTCAACCGAGACATATTGACTTTCGTCAAAACATAGAACTTCGTATTTACGCATAACATTTCGGAACAAAAGAAAAAAAAATTTATAGAAGATTTTAACTTATCTTTGAGTTTTCGATGCTTGGAAACTCCGTCATCCTCTTCTGGCAGAACTTGCTCCCAAGTTATAGGAATTCATGGACGTCAATCTTCTCCTTATGGGTCCTTCGAGTGTCGTCCACGTTGATTTTTTCTTTTTCGCCCTCTGCATGCTGGCCTCTTGGAGTGGTAGTCGTCGGGTTGCTGTCTTTTCCGTTTTGCCCTGGACGGCTGGTCTTGGCGTCCTCCGGTCTGGAGTCCTGCTTGAATTTCTTCTGTTGGTGGTGGTCTTTTCGTTCCTCCTGCTGTCTTTTCAGTTCTCGGAACGGCGGCCTTGTTTGCACCTGACTCTCTGGCCCTGGAAGCGGTTTCCTCGATGATGTAGAATTTCTACTGCGATACGTTGTAGGTGGTGTTTTCCTCTTTACCAAAGGTTTCTTTACGCGGCGGCTTGCATTTCTTGTTTTCTTAAATGCTGGAGTCTTGAAATTTTCATTTTCTTCTTTTCGGTACCGTCGCATGACTTGTAGAAGGGCTAGGTTCTCTTCAGTTCTCTGCTTCTTGGGTGGTGGAACGGGTGACGTTACTTTCTGGACCTTCTACTTCTTTTACGCTTGAGTCCTGCAAGAAACTTTTAAGGATTTCAAAATCATTTTGGATTATAGTATTTTTTTTTCACCTGGTCGGGACTTGCTTTACAGATTTCCCCTCTCTCGTTCTTAAGGTACAATACGACTCCCTTTGATTTCCTGAATTACATAGGGGCCTTCAAATTTTGGAGCTAGCTTTGCCAGTAAAATTGTCTGGGGCACTTGATAAAGAAAATTTCCGCTTCAATACACTTTATCCCCAACTTTAAAATCTGCTTCACGGCGTTTTTTCTATCATAATAAATTTCTGTCCTATTTCTTGCCGTATCCGAGCTTTTAAGCGCCTGATCAATAAGTTTTGCACATCTTTCTTTGTTTAAATTCTTGCTCTCTTTTTGTTGCACAAAGAATAATTTATCTAAAGGCGTAATTAACTTTCGTCCTAAAAATAATTCTGCTGGAGTTTTTCCCGTAGTATCATGATTTGCCGTTCTTAAAGCATAAGCTAACTTCATTTATGTAGCCATCCCAGCGCTTGTGATGTGTGCTAACATAACTGCGAATTATTTTTACAATGTTTTTATTAACTCTTTCTGCTATGTTTGCCTGTGGTCTATACGGAACCATTTTGATATGGCGTATGCCAAGTCCAGTTGCATATGTTTTCAAATATTTGACTAATGAATTGTTTTCCGTTATCGCTAATGACTTTTATCGGTGCACCGTATTTTAAAATGTATCTGTGTAAGAATGCATCTGAAAAACGATTTTTATTTAACTCATCTGGGGGAAGGGACCAAGAAGATCTATGCCTAAAATTTCATTCGGAAATGTAGCGCGAATGCTATTTAAGTACCCGGCCGGGCTGTAATTAATATCATTTATTAACTGACATTGATTGCAGGACCTGACATACGCAGTTACTATTTTGTATAATTGCGGGAAATATACCGCCTCGCGTACCCTTTTTAAAGTCTTTCTGACCCCTAAATGACCCGCTGTTTTTCGCGTCGTGTAATTCCTTCAAAATGCTTAATCGAAGCGAGGCTGGGATGACTGGTTTGTACTCAAGATTTTCGTTTGTTGTTTTCGTATAAAATAATAAATTATCTATTATTTCATAGTTTTTTGCTCTATTTCTTATCGCATCGATATCTGTGTGCTCAAAGCTTTCGGGGTCTTTCAAATAAGCATAGATACTTTCCAAATTCAGGATCAGCTTTCAGTTCAGCAATAATTGTATCTCTAGAATCTAAAATTTTTGAAGTCAACACAGCGCATTTAGTTCATTGCCTTCATCGTCCAGTTATGATCACTTTACAGGTAATTTAATCCATAAGGTTAATTTCCTTTAATATTAAAAAGTATCGACTTTGATTGAGGTAAGTTTACAATCGATAAAAGGCCGAACACGGGGTTCTTAAATTTCTACCTAGCAACCTCGTGAATCAAGAAGCACACGCTCGTGAATCAAGAAGCACACCTACAAACTCGTTTCCCTTCTATTTAACTCAAAATACTTCTGCTAAAAATTTGAATACTCTGCTCGTTCTACTAAAATTTACATACTCTGGCATTGGCAATTCCAGGGGAAAGTAAAGGCTTGACAGGAAATATAGCTTAAAATAAATGTTAGTTAAAATAAATATAAACCCTACAAGCCTACTATCATTCCAGCATGCAGTAGCCTTCTCTTCAGCTGCAATTTGCTGCTGCTTGAATTCTGTCAATGTATGCCAAGTATATGTCAAAATTTTGTATACATCAAAATCAAATTTTTATTGTGATATAAAATTTTGAATAAACGTGGTCCCACTAAGTGAGCAATGAAGCTGAAAGTCTTCATGGTGGCACAGCTGCTCACCCAGTGGTCTCCTGTCTCCTGCATGACTAAAAGCCATTTTGGGTTAAGATACGTGACTGCTATTAGAGGGGCGGGAGACTGTTATTTGGGCAATTGTTACTTCAAATCAAAAAAGTATAAAGTACCTTATATAGTAGAAGAAAATGCCACACGCCATTTCTTTCTACCAATATGCTACATTTACTTTAAAATGCGCTTGAGCTACCAGTCTCCTAGGTATCTGTGTACTGTGCGATATCAGGAATAAAGAAGAAATACAAGATTTCTTAAAATTAATGAAGCAACTTCCACAGGGTTAAAAGGAAATATCAGCTTCACCCTTGCATGGAGTTTATAGAGCCATTAGGTTATTTTGAAGCAGGAGACGTGAAAAATGTTCAATGACCGCGCCGGGACTCGAATCCTGAATCTCTCGAATGCGAGTCGAGTATGCTTCCAGTTACACCATGAAGGCATGCGGAAACAAGGAATATATAATGGGTAAAGTTGTAGAGACATCAGGTTATTTTGAAGCAGAAGATATGAAAAATGAGCATTGCCCTCGCCGGGACTCGAACCACGGACCTCTCGAATACGCGTCAAGCGTACTGACAACTACACCATGAAGGCATGCTAAGAAGGCGGGAGAAATAACTTATATATTCCTCTTTTTTAAAGGGCGACTGGGGAGTAGGTGACGCAATCACTAAATCCTAGTAGTGGAGAATCATCATTCACCACCTTTATTAATTCGGTCGCCACTGTAGAGACACTGGGTTATTTTGAAGCAGGAATGTGAAAAATCAGCAATGCCCTCGCCGGGACTCGAAACACAGACCTCTCGAATGCGCGTCGAGCGTGCTGACCGCTACACTATGAAAGCATGCTAAGAAGGTGGGAAAAATACCTTATAAAGTACCTTATATACTCCCCCTTTTAAAATTATCCCCGAAGATTAAGAGACCCAATCGCCAAATCCTGGAGGTGACGAATTATGGTCTACTACCCTTTTTTAGTTCGGATGCCACTTGTAGACTCATTAGGTTATTTTGAAGCCAGAGACGGGAAAGTGTGCATTGCCCTTGCCCTGGACCTCTCGAATACACGTAGAGTATGGTTTCAAATACACCACTAAGGCTTGCGGAAAGAAGGGCGAAAATGTCTTATAAGTTTAACCCAAAGCTTCCTGTCTAGCTGGATATGCTGAGCACTACATCAAAAGCCACATGGGAGAGATGTCTTTAATTCCTTACATTTCTCTCCTCCGCTTACAGAAATGATTGGAGGAAAGAAAGTTAGACCTTGTCCGTCAAATCAAGAAATCTAGAGACTAGTTATCTGTTGAGTTGCTAAATTCTGCAAGCAGGAAATCATGCAAAAACAGATGTCAACAATAAATAAAAACTATATTGTGTGCCGTAGCAATTGAATTAGAATTAAAAATGCATTTTAATTTAAAATTAATTGAAAAATTAAAGCATTCTAGGAAGGTAATTTTTCTTTATCTTGCTGTAGCCCTGGAGAATGATTTGGATTTGTTTTAAACATTATATTTTTACTGCACACAGCGGAAGAAGTAAATCTTAAAATGTACTATTGTTATGAATTTCGTATTTAGTTAGACATTTTTAGTAGAATTATAATTATTTTTTTTTTTATTTCCCCGTGCAATGCAGCGCGTGACAAATTTTAAGAGAAAGCTACACCGGAAAGGTAAAAATACAAGCGCACGTGCATTTAACATTGAATAAAAGTTTATCTCGGTAATTGATATTTAATTTACTTTCATATATGTTTTGTACTGTATTTAATTGCAATTTTAGCGAGGTATTTCTCCATGTGACAACTGGTCACGCCCCTTCGCCATTAGCTCCTGCCCTTCTGGACTCACACTTCGAACTTATTCTCTTTTCAGGGCCCAAAGAGCAAACATCTGATGACAGCCGGAACACATCAAGCAGAATGCTTGATAATCTCGGCATAAGGTAACTTGGAACTTGGATGATATTTAGTTTGAATAAATGTAATTGGCTACTATGTTAGAGAGCTGAATTGCAATTTCTGGAAAGAAAAAAAGACCGCAATTCCGCTCTTTTTTTCTTTCCAGAAATTGCAAGAACTCTCTCGGCCGATTTAAAAAGATATAAAAGCCGTTGAAAAACATCTCAGCTCAGTTGCTGTTTAGATAACTGTTTTTGTTGATTGTAGCGAATTCGCGGTGAGATCGGATTAGCTTTCTCTGCGCTTCGGATTGCGTTCTATTTAATGTTTTAGTAGTTTAAAATATAGCTACTGATTATATTGCGTGATACTGCAATGCTGTACGAATATGTTTGAGGAAAAATCCAGAGTTTTTTTATATTTCTTGTGATAATAATAAATTTTATTAACTTTCTTTTTAAATCAGACTTATGCATTTAATCTATTACGAACCCACACGCACGCTACATTATGCTAAAAATACTAGGTCTTCTTTTGTAAAGGTTTTCTATTATTTGTCTTTCTTATCATAAGCGTCAAGACGACGGTCTTGAGACTGATGAATAATCGAAGTTCCAAGGTACTAAGAAACATCGATTCTAATGTCTCTAATTTCACTTTCAGGAGCTGCAGCGTCGATTTACGATGCCAGCAACCATGCCAGCGTCAGCTAACGTTTTGTGCCCGACATCCAATAACAATTATGCTATTCAAGGCAGCCCTCGTGGAGATTCCTGGTCGGCGGCTCGTCAGCGACAACGACGCTTGTCCAACAGAAAAGATCTCGCCAGGCCACTCTATAGAAAAGATATTTTCTATAGCGGAAGCATCGTAAATTTACCTCAGTACCGACAATCGCGAGCGGATATACGTTCCTACATGGCTAGTGTGACTACAATACCTCCTGATGCTTCGGATGATGAAGTAAATATTACCAAGACTTATGTTTAAGTATTAATAATTAAGTATCAAGACGCGTACTCTTCTAATTCAATATTAGTAACTTAACATGAAATATTACTTAGATTTTAAATCTTATCATTTAGTATATCAAATATCAACTGTTCCCAAGCCCCATATACCGAAGATAGTATATACTATCCTTAGCATATCCTAAGGATTGGAAGATAAAAAAATACTCTTGCAAATGAAGAATTTTCGAAAAACATAACTTATCGAATTTTTTAATATTTATTTATTGTGCAGCTGCTAATAATGACGAATTTTAAATAAAAATATTCATCAGTCATTTTTACTAGCAGCCCCGTAATTTTAAAAGAGGCTACAGTCGGATTTTTTAATCAAATCGAAATTCTAATGAATGCCATACTATGCAATTGAACAGATTGGAAGAGCCTGAAAGAAAGATTACATCACGTACTTCACTGTGCATTGATTGGAAGGAATTATCTTCCTAGGCCTTAGAAGCAGGCATTTTCTTTCTTTATTATACCTCTTCCTCCTTTCTGAAAAAACAAAAGTGATACTCACTAGATGTAGCGTACATATACGTAAGTATTTTTTTATATAAATAAAACACATCACATTCTACTTTATCAAACTTTATTGATAGTTATGCAATTTGTTTGAAGTGTGATAATTAAAGAAAAATATTTAAAAAAAAATCTGAAACGTTTCAGATTTTAAATTACGTCCATAGGGGCGTTTTTTTAACATTTTGTGTGTTACATTTATTTATTAAATATTACGTTCTTCGCATTTACACCATAAAATTAGTTCAACAGCAGTATCGCAAAACAGTTTTAAAATGAGCATATCCTTAGAATTTTCGATGCAGAGACTCACGCGCTGGAGATAAAAATGTTTTTTTTGTACAACGTTGTCATTGCTGGCTTTGAAATGCTTGAGTTTGTTCATCAAAAATTTGTTAAAGTTTTACAAAATATGAAATTGATAATAAAACAAATTCCAAATTTCAAATTTGGTCTTCCACGTAGGAGGATTACGTCATTCAAAATTCGATGGCCCTATGTACCGTTGTTTTATCACAATGCGAGAAATATACATACATTTACGCAGATTTTTCATTATTCAATTTCTTCAAATATAATGCAGGATTTGGTGGCAACAGTTTGAAAAGTGATTCGCCATTTATAGTGATTCGACGCAAAATCGCAAAACGAAAACAATACTCCTTCAGAGACAAAGCCCCTTTGGACTAAAAAAATGGGGGAGGGAACGGTAAAAACTTCGGATCAGTCTAACATGTCATAGAAGATGAGGTTTATGAGAAATATTTCCCACACCCGAAGTGGTAACTTTTTCAGTTTTGTCGCGATATGAAATTGGTGACATTTAAACAATGGCACGGTTTTTTAGGTATTAAAAAATGACACACATCAGATGTATTTGAAAATAGACTTATATAATGCTTTGTAGATATTGTAATTCTTATGTTTATATACATATTTTGCAATTTATATAATTTTCCCCTTACGTTTTCAAACTTTATTAATAATTATGAAAAATATTTTAAGGAATTTAGAATTTTCAGTATGTCGAAATCATAATACGTTATAGATACTTTTAAAGGCATACTGATGTAATGCTTTTAAAGGTGTGCTGATGAAACTTTTTTCTGCTCTTTCAAAATTTGCAGTAATTTTGAAACATTTCTGAAGTAAAATATGATTAAGAACTAAGATTTGATAATGCTTGATACTGAAGAAAAGGGTTTAAGAACTAAGGTTTGGTATTGTATAAATGATGACAAATGCGTGGTGGAAAATGTTAACTCACCAGATTCGTAATAAGAGTGCTTTATACAAGAGCTGGATACAAAATTGTAGCAACAAGTCGATAGTGCTTAAACGACTTTATTACTATGGGTGCAGACACTTAAAATCCCTCAATGTAATCGCCTGCCATGTCTACCACCTTCTGAAAAATCAACTGAACGCGTCATACACCACCAGCAAGTTTCGCAGCCATCATCTTAAAGCACATATATCCTCCTCTCTCTTGTTATAATGGATTTCTTGCAGTGGTTTCATTGATTTTGGGTATAAGATCATGGTCACATAAGCTCATATCAAGTGACTATGGTCAACATCTCTTGACAGAAGGGTTGGTAAGGCGGCATTCATTGCCACCTTCGCCCAGGAGATCTATGATACCACCGCTTTATCATACTGTACATTGTCATAGATGATGATGGCATTCTTCACAATTCTTCGAAATCCAGATGATGTCTCAGGTGACCGATCCCATCATCTTCATTCACAATGCCTGGTGACATAATGCAAATGCTGTTACGGATCTCTTCCAACAGTGACGATATGAAAGTACTGGAGCATTCGCCGTGCTCGTCCAACATGAGCCTATGTGACGATGAAATCTCTGGAAAAATGAAATAGCTACTGATAGGGATTGATTACGGCAACAAAGAATTATTCATGCTTTAAAATAATCGCTGAGGGGCATCAACAGAAGTGGGTGTGCTGATGATGTAAGACGCCTTCTAGTAATTGGCTAGAAAGTGTCCGGCATAACAGACGATTGCGCGTGTTAATCCAAAATAATCTTTTCAGAACAATCGACATATTTCTATTACTTTTTATGCATTTTTTTGTACATCTGGATGTAATTATTTTAATGTCAGTTCCAAAAGGTTTTTTTAAACTTCGAAACAATTGTTTTTGTTTTGCCTGTGTTATGTTCGTGTATTGATAAAATGTCGGTTTTCAACATGATCTACCATTCTGTCAGTCAAACAGAAACTGTTACTCTTCACATACGAGAAATGTTTCTTGCAAGACTCATGAGAAAAATCATCCGGTCAAAAAATGCAAAACTACGTCTTGAATAATTAAAACCTTAAGCGCGTAAATCTCCCTGTGGTATTCCTTTGAAAAGGAATAATATCATATCAAAATTTTTGTCCTTTTGGTACTGCCATTTTTAAGCACCTTTTTTAATATTTAGTATTCTTTTATGCTTTGCATCTTGATTTTTCTGGATGTTAACTTTTAAGCTAGCATTTTTAACGTAGCTGTTTAGTTTAAGCATGTTCCAGGACATGAAATGGAATCTAAATATGTAAATCAGGTTGCAAAGTTTTTTTAATATTTTTTATTTATTAAGTATTTCTTAATTTTTGGGAAATATTTAAAGATAAGTTTTGTTTCGAGGTGCCAGACTGTAATCTTAGGTTTTAAGACTGCAATTATTTTGTTTTCTTGTTCTTTTATCCTTTAGGACAATACTGCCGCATCTGTGAAATCCAAGAAATATCCTAAATGCCCGAAGCTTCCTAAAAGTATGGCGGACACATTGAAAGAAGCGTTAGATTTTTCCTTGCTGAAAGAACCTGCTTTCCTATTGGCTTGCATCGGCAACGTCTTGGGTATGATGGGATTCTACATGCCTTTTTTTTACATCACTGACAGTTCCGTACAGAAGGGGGTGGGTCGTGATGCGGCTGCTTTTCTACTGTCTATCATCGGCATCACGAATCTTTTGGGCAGGCTTCTTTTTGGCTGGCTGGTGGACAAGGCTGGTCTGAAGGCCCTGGACGTGAACAACATGTGCCTTGCTGTCAGCGGAATCTCAACTTTGGTGCTGCCTTTCTGCAATTCCTATGCTACCATTGTTGCCGCCTGCACTTTCTTCAGTCTCTTTGTGTGTGAGTTAAGAATTTATTTTTATTTGTGTTTGGTCTGTATCGGCAAAATACGAGAAACTCTCTTCAGGTTTTGTCAGGACTTGCCCATTCTAGCAATTCTCTCATGCTGAAATTTGCAGCGAGACTGTGGGAGAAATTAGTTAACAGCAATGCATTCGTTCTCACGACATGTTTAGCCACACTGTCATATCATATTCGTTCTCCGCTCTAGCCAATTTTATGTCTTCTTCTAAAATGAGTTCTTTCGGCGATGCCGTCAAAATAAGCCAGATCAGAGAAACTAGCTAGAAAATTAGAATAACCATTACAATTTCATTTTTAAAGTTCTTATGAAACGTTCCATAAGAACTTTAAAAATTCTCGTTTTTTATAGTTTAAACACTAAATTTACAAACATCCTATTTTTAAGTAGCGAAAAGCTTTCTATATACTATGTATTTAAGTTGCATAAAGAGAAACAAAATCGACCATAGTTTTTTTTTTTTTTTTTTTTTTTTTTTTTTAAAGTTGTCAAAAAATTGGGAAACACCCCGATTTTAGGCTCCACAAATGCTTTAAAAAACCCATCTTTATAACTTTTAAAACTTTATAAACACTCCGTTTTAAAACTGCTAAAAAACTTTAAAAACACTTTTTTAAGCTGCTTAAAGTTTTATAAACAATCTTTTTTATATTGCACAAAGACCTTTTTAAACCGCTATTGTTACGTTTCACAAAACTTTGAAAATACTTCTTTTTTGCGTTGCTCAATAAATTCAGGAACACCTTGCCTATGTTATGCAAGGGCTTGAAAAGTACTTATTGTTTAAAGTTTAGGAAGGGTTCAGTAAGTACTATAGCGTGTAAATTAATTGGAATAAAGGGATGCTTTAACATAATTTTAAGTTGTTTGCCAGAGCTCAATAAGTACTGTGTGTAAATTAATTGGAACATATTGATGTTTTCATAAAATTTTAAGTTGGTTGCTAGAGCTCAATAAGTACTATGTGTAAATTAATTGGAACATATTGATGTTTTCATAACATTTTAAGTTGGTTGCCAGAGCTCAGTAAGTGCTTGTGTAAATTAATTGGAACATATTGATATTTTCATGAAATTTTAAGTTGGTTGCTAGAGCTCAATAAGTACTATGTGTAAACTAATTGGAACATATTGATGTTTTCATAAAATTTTAAGTTGGTTGCCAGAGCTCAGTAAGTGCTATGTGTAAATTAATTGGGACATATTAATGTTTTCATAAAAATTTCAGTTGGTTGCCAGCTCGCGCCAGCAGATCCCTCAAAGCAATTTTATCTGCCTTAACGCCGTCTGGATGTCTGTTTTTGATTACTCAGGACTAATTTATAAAATAATTTAATTAAGTTTATTGCAACATTTTAAGCTTGTTTCTGGGAGAAGAATAAGTTACTTTTGCATACTTTAAAAATATATTTCGCATTTTTTCATTTTAGCGTACTAAAAATGGATGTAATGCCTACGGACCAAAGATTATCGCACATAAAAATCACACATCAGTGACTGTAAGAAACATTTCTTTCGCAGTTTGTTTTGAAAAATCGAATGTTTCTCGAATTCTGAGATGACGCAATAAAATGGAGCATTTTCTTTAGGAAGGAAAGGCAAATGGAGAACGAAAAGGAAAACAGCTCCAAAAACTGATCGATTCCTACTCCGAAATAACTTTATCAATCCAACAAAAAGTAGAGAAACCTTGAAAGCAGTTGCCTATTGGTACTGATACTCATCCGTCAAATGTGTGACATAGACTTCTCGCTTCTTCTCAGAGGACCGGAAAGCCAATTACAATAAAAACGAACTTTGATGAGTCAAATGAAGCTAAAATAATTATTAAGATGATTTACAATTACTGGAAAAAAGGTCCTTTTTAGCAATGAGATTCATTTAGTTGTTCGTGGTTACACATTTAACCTTGCTAGACGAAGCGAGAGTGAATCAGTAAGATTTTGCATATCCGACAAACCATAAAATACACTTTTCACTAGCGATGACATTGAAATTTTAACTCCTATTAACAGAAATAGTATACAGAAATGTTTAAACGTAGGGGTTGTGCAATTCTTGAATACCTTTGCAGGGACATTCCAGCATGACTTTGTTGTTGTTAATGCTCATTTGTCTGATATATAGTCAGCCGAAGTCCACGAAATATCTTTTGGCAAGGAGCGCAAGTGTAAGCCTGTCGTTGGCAACAGCCTTGAGCACCTTACAGGTCACAGTGAGATTAGCTAGGATTTAGATTTAGCTAAGCCCCCCCCAATTCTGATGGAGAGTACCACGGGGGGACGGGTCTTTCCCCTACCAATAACTTCTCGAGCGGGCTTTGCTTTCGGCTCCCCTCATATTTAGCGTGCCCCCATGCAGCATGGACACTGTGCATTCACAAACAAACATGCCTTCTCCGGGATTCGACCCCGGGCCCTTTGGCACGGCAGTCAGCGACGCTAACCACTGTACCGGTTGGGTGGCAACCTGACTTTGCTTCATGCCATAATCCGACATCTGTCAGAATGTTCATGTTGAAAATAAATTGTTGTGTTACAATGGCTTGGAAATTCAGAAGATTTAAATCTGATCGAAATCTTGTGGCACATTCATCTTACCATAGTGGCTTGCTCGACAAAAGGACGCGTGATTAAGAACGTTATAAAAGAGTGATTTCGTGACAAAGGAGTAAAATACATAAGCATAAGAATAGCAGAATTCGTTCTACAGGGCCCACCAGCGGCCGAACGGTAAAGTCCCTGAACACTGGTAGTTCGGTCCGAGGTTCGAATCCCGCGAACGGGCTGGCTGCATGGGCGTTTTCGTGGTTTTCCCCATGTGTAACGTGTATACGAGCCAGTTTCCCTTAGAAAGTCCTCCACGAAGGCACTCCTCCCCTTAAGCAGATAGCCCTAGTGTGCTTTGCCATAATTAAATACACCAACACCACGCCGTTCTACAGGTCATTTCTGCTAAAGGAGAACATATTTCCTATTAATTGTATTAACTTTATTGCATAAGAAGGTATGTGCCCAAATTATAAAAAAAATCGCCTTTGTTCTAATTAATTTGCATACTACAGTACTTGAAGTTAAAACTGTAAAAAATCTGCGTAAAGATTTTTTTCAATATTTTCAATCGATCGCCTGTTAGCTTAAATATATATATTCGTTTTCTGTCCACAGCTGCATACATTTCATTGACTTCAATCATTCTGGTGGACATGGTGGGACTGGACAGGCTAACCAACTCATTTGGACTTCTCAGCTTGTTCCGAGGGGCTGCTTCGATTGTTGGTCCACCAGTCGCAGGTAAGTCGTTTCATTTAATTCTAAAACAACAAAGGGTGAGACATGGGAAGATCCAGGATTTTGAGTTTTAAAACTATCATTGTCAATTACAACTCAATTATGTATTTATTTTAGCAAAGCAATAAGGTATACAATGCCTTTACAATATAGCCTTTCCTTAATATAGCCTTTCCTAATATAGCCTTTCTTATGTCTTGTTGAACAATTTATTTTTCTAAAGTTTTGTAAGATATCTCTCTACGAGTTTGCGTCGCACTTTGGACTCGGGTTATTGGTACGCAGCAGTTGTTTCCTGTAATGTTATTTAGAGTCCAATTATATTCCTAGGTTTAAAGTACTTGATTTTTCTAATAAAGCAAAGAAAATAGTTGCAAAATACTACTAAGTTTATAAGGTATTTCTTCCGCCTTCTTAGTCGTAGTATAGTAGTCTGCATGCTGGGCGCGTATTCCAGATGTGGTTCGATTCACGCCGAAGACACTACTCATTTTTCATCTCTCCTGCTTCGACATTACCTAATGTCTCTACATTGGCTCCCGAACTAAGAGGGTGTTGGATGACGATTCTCCACACCCAGGATTTGGCGATTGCGTCCCCTATCCCCCACTCGCCCTTTAAAAGGGAGGGTGTATAAGGTAGTATTTATCCCGTCTTCTTAGCGTCCTTCGTGGTGTAGTGGTCTGCACGCTGGGCGCATATTCCAGAGGTCCGTGGTTCGGTTCCCTGCGAAGGTGTTGCTCATTTCACATCTCTCCTGTTTCTAAATTACCTAATGTCTCTACAACTTCTGATAATGTGCCATGTGTATAACTTCTTTAGAAATCACGTGATTGGTTGCTGAAAAGTTTTTTCCGTTAGGTCGAAAAAGCAATTTGTTTAAATGCATATGAAAATACACAAACAAGGAACTATGAAACTATGAATAGCTGAGGAACAAAATAGCCTCGATTAGCAATAAACTATTGAAGTGTACTAACTACGTCATATGTCAATGCAGTCTTATTTTCGAATAAGGGCAGAACATGAAACTGATTAGTTAGTCAATAGATTAGCTTTGGTGCCTGAAGATTTTGGTTTTACAAATACTTAAAGAATGCTCTCCGATTCCACATAGAGTACGCGATTCACGGGCGAGTATTGACTCAAAGGATTATGCAAGCTATCATAAAATCAAGTATTTTCATTATTCGCAAAATAGGATGGATAATAAATTTCAAACATTTTATGAGATATTTTCTCCCTCCTTTCTGCATGCCTTCGTGTTGTAACGGTAGCACACTCGGCGCGTATTCGAGAGGTCTAGGTTCAAGTCCCGGCTAGGGCATTGCTCATTTTGACGTCTTCCGTATCAAAAAAACCTAATGTCTCTACAATGGTGCTCGAACTTAAAGGTGGTGGATGATGATGATTTTTCACCACGAGGATTTGGCCATTGGGCCCCTAATTCCCAGTCGCTGTTTAAAAGAGAAGTATATAAAGTATTTTTCCCCTCCTTTCTGTATGCTTTCGGGGTCTAACGGTAGCACACTCAGCGCGTATTCGAGAGATCCAGGTTCGAGTCACGGCGAGGTCATTACTCATTTCTTGAGTTTCTTGCTTCAAAAAAAAATCTAATAACTGTACCGGAACTAAAAGGTGGTAGATGATGATTCTTCACCATTACCATTTAGCGACAGGGTCCCCTAATTCCCAGTTACCCTTCACAAATGTATATAAGATATTTTTTTCCTCCTTTCTGTGTGCCTTCGTGGTGTAACGGTAGCATACTACACGCGTATTCGAGAGGTCCAGGTGCGAGTCCCAGCGAGGGCACTGCAAATTTTTCGTGTCTTCTGAATTAAAAATACCTAATGATTCTACAGTTAAAACATTGAGTTTATTAGTTAGAAATTATAAACGTTTAAGCTACTTTAAACTACTTTTTTTAACGGCTGCAAATGTTTAAAATGAAGAAATTATTTAACACATTTTCTAATTATAAGTTAATTCCATTCGCCTATTGAATGAAGCAAAGTGTTCTGTTATAAAATGAATAATAAAAGTGTCACTTTCTTTCAGTGTATTTAATAGATCATTTTCGATTGATATTATTCCCCATTTTTGTTTCATTCTTCATTTAGCGTAATCCGTATAATTCTCCAAAGCGCAGAAAATGATCCTTCAAAGAAATGCACACTAGCCTCATTTTTAAAAGCGAAGCAAAAGATAATTTTGTGGATGCCAAAGGAAGATTTTGAAGTATGCTGAACAAAACATCGGCGACAGAAAATATTTTACAGAAGGTTACGAAAAGGAAATAAAATTCAAATCTCTCTAATTTTAACAACAACAACCAAAAAAAAGGGGGGCCCAAGAATGTGCTTTTTTACTTCTGACTGATGTTCCAACACGGCAGCAAAAACTCGATGAAGCTTTTTTTTAATTCTATGGAAGATACTGACAAGTCGGGATGAATAATTTTATTTTGTTAGGCAAACCTAAAAAGGCAAGCTTAGAAAAAAAAAGGCGAGCTAGAAAAGCATCAAGAAATTTTTAGCTATTTGGTGCTTTTTTGAAATTTACTAAACGCCCACAAAGTGTAGTGAAAAGATAAAGCACTCAAGAATATTTGGAGCGCTTTTTGAAATAACTAAATTCGAGCAATGTGCATAGCAGTGCACGAAACCAGCTTCCATGGAATAACAGTTCTAGATAATGGGTAAATAAGGTTGAGTTCTTTATCCCCATCTTCTAAAGATTTTAGTTTCTGATTCTTTGATAGCATGTATGAAATCAGCTTATAGAAAAGACTCTTTATTATTTGACTGTATGCCAGGAGTCAAGAAAGAAGCCGGTATTGCATTGCACAAGGCCATTCTATTCACAAGTTTCTCTCCGCCGCTATAACATACGACAAAATAAGTGCACAAAGTGCTGTTTCAGATTTATTCTGAAGATTGAGTATTTTAGAAGTACCCAAGTATTTCTACTGCTTTTTCTTCATTCGCATATCGATAAACTACCACATTCATACAGGTCGGTTATTGTTCACCGAGACTGCAACCTCATATGAGTGTCCCTACATGAAGGTGCCTGCATTTTTATGAATGGACATTTTTTCTAAGAGTTCTATATTCTATGGTAAATATCATCGATTTTCCTGTACTGTTTCTACATATGTATTCCAATTTTTCTTCTTTTCAGGTTCAGTGTATGATCTCACTGGGAGTTACGACATCCCATTCTTCCTGGCTGGGGCATTACTAATATCATCCGGAGTGTGCACATTCTTCATTCCCTGGCTGAGTAAAGGCCATCCACCTGTCCGGATACGAGCCCCAACGCCTGTTGACGACGGAGACAGCGGAAAACCCGACAGCGAACCCACGACATCGCTTTGAGAATGTAGGACTTATGACATAAAGCTTCGCCCTGCGCCCCGTGCAAATCATGACAAATAGTTTTATTCGTTATGCTCGCTGTGGCTGCGAACAGTATGCTGTTGGTCGGATTGTGCATTGCAACTTGCTGGAAATTGAATGACTTGAAGTGCACTTCGTCGAAACAGAAAAGGTTTCTGAAACCTTTTCACTGTGCCAAAGAATAGTCATGTTGATGTTTATAAATTCTCCAGTGTTCAAACTATTTCTCCACCTAGAGAACATTTATTTATGAATTTGTTAACATGTGAAAGAACTTATTTTAAAATACTTTTATGCTCGAAAATCGAACCTAAGCTTAACGTTCAATTTGGTACTTTAAATACAAATCTAAAGTAAATATACGCAAATATAATGCCTACGCAGAGATGTGTTTAAGACTGGTCAGGCTGTAGAATCTAACATTTTCGTTTTGCATTACAGGGTCGGATTTAAATTTGATGAGGACAAAGAATTTTATTATTTTTTATGATTACCGAGAGCTTACGTTAAGAGCGTTGAAGCTTCGAATGCTACTGCTGCGTTTAGAACTGTTCAAACTCTAGGTTCTTTCTTGTTTATTATGTGGTCGATTTTTAAACAGCTGATCTTTTACACGCTTTCACATTTTCCCATTTCGATTTTTAAACTGCTGATATTTTACATTTTCGTTTTTTGCACATGATAGGACTTAAAGATGTCCTAAATTTCTTGATATACTTCTTGTTTATAGTTGGTCAGATTTCAGGTTGGTCAAAGTCTAAGAATTTTAACTAGTTTCTTGTTTACACAGCACCAGATTTAAGAGGGATGAGGCCGTAAAATCCTTAACAGACTTATTTGTAAATTGGTGGATTTAAGACTGGTAAAGCTCTACAGTAAAATAGTTGATGCTCCTTCCACAGACAGACACACAGTAGAATAATCAAGTAAAAAGGAATTTCATTAAAGTTAGTTAATTCAGTTAATAGGAACCATAGAAACAGGCGATTTTTTATGAGTAAATTTGGTTTCATACAAGGTGTCTCAAAATAACGTAATGCATTCTTTACAATAGAACAGAACACAGGCATGCATTTTATTGCAACATATCTTAAGGATATTGTTTGAAATGACTACTTCTCCTCCAACCCCAACCAGACTACATTGACCGAAATGATGTAGAACAGAATAACATAGCAAAAGTATTTCTTCCAATTGTATACAACACCGCAGTTATGCTCCGTTTGCTGTCTAAGATTGTCCGTGTCTGTGGGGGTGTTTGGTTGATAGGTTGTTTTGGGTTCTTGATAGTTCCCCAGAGAAAAAATTCTGATGGGTACACCACATGACTTCCTTGTATGGAATATTAAATTACACGCATTTTTTCCTCCCTTTCATTTAAACTTTTTTCCTCGAATTTCATTAGAGATATATTTCTGATTTAATTAATTCAGTTCTCATTTCGCGACAAGCCAAAAATACATAAAATCTCAAAATATCTATATTAAAAATTGAAAGATATAAACAAACATTTTTTTTTTCGAATGGTAAGTTGTGAACAGTTACAGTTTTGTAAACAGAGTCCATTAATCTACACTAAGGCCAGATGTGGTGGTCTCTTTATTAGGGAAGCACCTAATAGGTCGGCCACCACTGCTTTCTATAGAGGGACGGACAGTTTCAACCATACATTCATCCGGAATTCGAACCCGGACCCTTCGGTATCGCAGTCAGGCTTCCTTAACCACTATACCGTCTGGGCGGCTCTATAAATAAATAAATAAACATAAAACACCAAATACATTTAAAACAACTAAAAAAATATTTTTACAATTACAGTTTCTACCCCAAAACAAGCAATTCGGCCAGCGGGCAAGAAGGCAGATTTTTCGGTGCACAAAACTGAAAGTTTACTTTTGGTCACACTCGACAAAAAGACACTGAAGGCATAGAAACTGACTTAATTTGCTGTGGACGCTATGCTGAGTGAATATATGGGATAATCAATAACTTAAACGATAATTCCAGAATAGATTAAGCATAATTTAATTCGCAATAATAAAAGAGGACGTTACTTTGTTGTTGCGTAGCTTGGTTTCTCTATATTGTTAACAAATTCACTATTCTACTAAGTTTCAAATGTAAACAAATATGGCTGCGATGGTAAAAAGAAATTAGGCTTATCCGCACTTAAACTATTTTTAAATTGTTGGTAATTCTACAACTATAACATACAGATTACCTATAGACATAAAAACCTTAACCGGAAGATAAAAACATAATTCAAGCATTTTTAAATAAAAAAATGCACAGTTTACAAACATATAAGAATAAAGAAACTGAGCTCACTGAGCAGAGTAAGAGACTATATATATATGCATATATATATATGTATGTGTGTGTGTATACATATTTTATATATTTCTAGTGCGGCCGATTGCAACCAAAGTAAGAGATGCACATCTATGTCTTATAGCAGTCCTATACACGAAAACATCGTTAAATTGCATTCGATAGAGGTCAAAATGGATATTTTCGTTGAAATATGATACCCGAAATTTTTCACGATTACAATACTTCCCTTTTACTTCGCACAAGGAAGTAAAAGATGAGAGGAATTTAAATCTGGATGATCGAGGTGGGTATTCCTCCCCACTTTCTTGTCATCCCATGCATTGCTGAGGGATCGTACGATCAAGAAAAGCCCTCACATTGATACAAAAGCGGGATGGCGCCCCATACTGCATCTCTAAGACCAAGAGATATTGTGTGCAACATTTCTAGTTACGAATTACCAGTCATACTCCTATCGAAGTGGAATGACTAGGGCAGTCCTCTAGATGATGCATTATTAATCAAAAAACATGCATTATGTTGTATCAAAAACGTGCTTATTAATCACTGTTTGCTGCATTATTAATCAAATAATGTTGTCTGCTTGTATGCTTTAGTTATTGAGATATTCTGTTTTAAAGAGTGTATGCATTATCTTGTGACATCCTTTATTTACATATATTTTTGATGGTCAAATTTAGGTCTGTGTGCACGAATTCATGCAAAGAACAAAATGCTTCTAATTTCTGATAGAGCATCTTAGTTCAGACACCATTTTCTGGGACTGGCTTCATTGTACACGAATTTATTTGCGAACTTTGGAAATGTGCCAAACGAAACTCAGAACAGTAGTAACCCTTAAATGTAATTTTAATTATTTATGTTAGAAAAACATAGGTTTCTAAAGGACGTGGATAAAAATTTAAGGTTTAAATTATGTGTGAAATTATGTATAGTTTTTGGTCAAATGATGAAACACCTCTCTTCACTTAGGTGAAGAACAAATAAAATTTTCTTCCAGATGCTCCTTTCGGAAGCTGTTTAGTCATTACGTCTGTCTGCATGACGCCACTGACTCCTAGTATACTCCAAATCAAGTTCTTTCCTACTCTCTTTGTATCTTAGTTTCCCTACGTCTGTTACGTAAGTGACGCTAGAGTTGGGAAGAGCCTAACTTAGTTTTTGTGCGGATCTTACATGCTTCAAATCAAAATTTTAATTTAATCAGTCGCAATCTAAACTAGACCTAAAAAGATCATTTGTTAGAATTTCGATAGCAGAATACTTCGCGAAACATAAAATAATAAAGAAAAATACCGTTATTTCAAATCAAAATAGAACTGTAATTAGACGCAAGTTGAATTTGAATTAAAAAAATAAATAGGCAATCAAAATTTTAAAACAAAAGCATCCTAAAAAAGTTAGTGTCAAAGAGGAAGAATAATAAGTTCCTTTAAAACTTCCACGTTAGCACATTGTTAAATGTCAAGCAACAAATCATTATGTGAACAAAAAAGTTAATTATAGCATGTTCCTTAAGTACAGCTTCATTGGGAATTTTACACAATATGTTTCAAAATGACCTTTCTTGTTTACAACTCGCAGATCTGGACACAATGAATTTATTTATAATATATGTTTAATATTTCTTATATTTTCACAAATCATTTGACTTGCAGCAGATTAAAGTCAAAAGACTATCAATATTATTTTGTTAATGCCTCATAAGTAAAGCTGCTTTTATGTTTGCTTTCAGAATCTCCGGAATGTACAATGAAATGCAAGGAGATAAAATATTGTTTTAAAAAAATAGTATATTTTACAAACAAAATAAAGATTTATAGATATTATAGACAGAATTTACTGCTGTCTAATAATGAAAATAAAACAACTGATATACGTCTTAGAGAATGATGCCTTGTTGACGTTTGTTTCAAAAGTTCAACAATAATGTTATATTTTCCATTTTTTGTTATATTTTTTGTATGTTTTTAAAGATTTTATTGGAATTTTTATCTCTCTTGTATATATAACGATTGTATTAAAATATTTTACGTAATCGTGTCGTTTATTTTTCACACCTTTGAGTATTTGTACATGTAATGGCTAAGGTTCAAGATGGAGTTGAATGATTAGTCTGTACGTAAGAAAATAATTTTACTTAAAAAAAATCTGAAAACTTTCAGATTTTATATTTCGCCCAAAGAGGCTTTTTTTTAACGCTTTGTGCGTAACCTTTACCTATTAACTTACATGTTATTCGCACTTAAACCACATAAAATTCAATTCAACAGAAATATCACAAAATATTTAAAGGTTACAGCCGAAAACATCGCGGAGAAAACAACGCAAGGAAAAAAAATCGTGGGAGAAAACATCACAAAGAGAAAAGATCGCAGTTCAAAAATATCGTGGTACAAAATATCGTGGTCGAAAATAAAAGCGGTTAAAAAACTTCGCAGTTTAAAAACATCGTCGTCGAAAATATCGTGGTAAAAAATAAAGTACCTACAAATCATCGCATGACGATAACATCGCATACATGCGTTCTTCAAATCGCATAGTGACATATTATGTAACTTACTTTGTATCATAACTAACAAATCGATATCCAAACAATTGATTACACACTATACATGAAAATGTTAACGAATAAACGGAAACAAAACAATATGTAATTTTCATTAAAACAATATCAAATAAAGAATTGTGAAAGAAAATAATTTGATCATTAACTAAGCAATTCTTATACAGATAACTTCATGCAGATATTTATCTTCCTTCTCTAAGCATTTTTAGTCGGTATTTTTCATGAAAAATTATCAGTTAAAAAAAAAAGGCCTAGTTTATTAATGACCTTTGTTAATTAACTATATAAATGTAAGATTCTATTAAGCTTTTTAAGTTGCATTAATTTTCCACTCATTTTCAGTTTTTAAATGCTGAAGTTTCCTTTTTATTTTTTTCAGCAAAATTTTATTTATTCTCTCAAATATATCAAATATAGAAGTAAACGAATGCCTCTTTTCTTCTTGCGCTGTATGATATTTATATCAACATGCATTTACAACTTTCAAAACCTGAAAACGCATGTATGCGATGTTATCGCCATGCGATGATTTGTAGATTACTTTACTTTTTACCACGATATTTTTGACGACGATGTTTTTAAACTGCGAAGTTTTCGAACCGCTTTATTTTCGACGACGATATTTTGTACCACGATGTTTTAGAACTGCGATATTTTCGCTTTGCGATGTTTACTCCCACGATGGTTTGTTCCACGACGTTTTCTCCTTGCGTTGTTTTATCCTCGACGTTTTCGCCCGCGATGTTTTCGGCGAATACCTATTTAAAAGAGTATCTCTTTAAACGTTCCAATACACAGTCTCGTATGCTGGAGATTTTTCGTAGTGTTGCCATTGCTTGCTTTGAAATCGTTAAATTTCTTAATCAAAAATTCTTTAATGCTGGATTTTTATTTCTGCTGGTCTTCTTTGACCTTGTCCTCTACATGACCTAGATATTTGACGGTCGTATGAGCAAATTGACATTTCGAAGGCTTGAAATGCAGTTTATCAATTTTCATCCAGGTTTGCGAGAATACTGCAACATCGTCAATATAGGGTACAGCAAATTCTTCACAGTTTCTTAATAATCCTGCCATTAAGCGGCTAAAATCAGATGGTGCATTTTTTAGGTAACCTTAAGGGTTTAAATGTTCCAAAACTCGTCACAAAAGCAGCGTAACGCTGGGTTCGTTTAGATCGTGGGATCTGTCAGTAACCTCGAGTAAGACGTAGAACAGTCCCCCCCCCCCCCCCCCCCCCCCCCCCCCCCCCCCCCCCCCCCCCCGTATATATCTGACAAATGACACTTTTTCCACTAAATGTTCAATTTTTGGCAAGGGAAAATATTTTGAACTAGTTGCCTTGTTCAGGCGACGGTAAACAATACATAGTCTTTCCTCTTTTCTAGGAACTGGAAATGGAGAGTAAATGAGTGGAGAGGTAAAATCCGATTCACCTGGTTCTATTACTCTTGAGTTTTATCATCTTTCCTACTTCAATTTTTAAAAGCTTGGTTTGTCTGGTAGACATTCAGTAAGGTTTTGCACATATCGGTCT